GCGATTCATATGGGGACAAATGTTCGAGTGAGAAGGAACCTAAAAAGCATTGCAAAGGTTTACAACGTGCTGGGCACCAAATTGAAGACCATAGGGGACAGATAGTGTTTTCATTCCTACCCCTGATTGAAGGTAGAGGAGTCAGAAGGGAGAAGCAGATTTGGAAAGTGAAGGTGTCTGAGAATTAGATTAGGGTTTCTGGACCACAGCTTAAAATAAAGGTATGATGGGCTCTTGGCCAGGCAGATAGAGTGCACTTTGAAAAGGCTTATTAAAAGCCTATCTAGGTCTATGTACCGATATGCAAAGTATGGGCAATAACCAGGGAGAACCAGAGAATTCAATGCAAGCAAACACCTTTGACTTGATTTGTGTCACTGAGACTTGGTGAGACTCATGATTTGGAAATAGAGCTCTGGAAGGGAAGAGGGATAGGGGCTGGACCTGTGATTTCATTGGCTTAGGGAACTCCCAGGTGAGAAAACTCTCTACCAATGCAGATTGGTACCTTCTGTGCAGCTTGTAGTCTGAAAGAGCTGATTGGAGCACTACTAGGGTAAGTGACTTGGCCAGAGTCACACCGTCAGGATGCATAGAAGGTGGGATGTGACTGGGTCTGGGTCTAGCCAGCTGCAAGGCCGGCTCTCTGTCCACTGTGCCATGCCTCTAAGGTACCCTCTGGAAGGGTATGCTTCATCCAAAAGAGCAGGTAAGGTAAGGGCCGAGGAGGAGGTGTTGTGAGGAGATAGATTCATGTGAGGAGTCCAGGAACCCAAGTTGAAGGAGAACAAGGTAGAGAGGATTAGGGTGGGATCAGAAAGCGAAGAGGAGAATAGAAGCAAGATTTTTCATGGTAGAATACTCTTGACCACTTGAAAAGAAGGCAGAATTTACACAAGGCATTTGATACTCAAAACATCCCAACTCTGGTATGAAGGCATGATGCTGCAGCAATGGGGACATCTGCTGGAACTCTCTTTCTGTCCAAAGCACAGCAGCTGGTAAATTCATGATTTAATGATGGATGCTTTTGTCCTTCAAAAGTCAAAGTGGTGACAAGGAAGAAAAACCGTTGTTGAAGTAGAAATAACAGGAACGTTAGGGGGCCAAATTTCATGGTAGAAAAGGCAAGGAAGTTAGGTGTCATTTGTTATGCACCCCAGGTTTTAGCAGGGCAGCTCTTTGAGAAGAATGGGACAAAAATGGTTAATAAGGAGTTGAAATGGGAGATAAGTTGGGGACATGGTAAGAATCCCTAGCTAAGAGTCCTCTCAATGAGATCAAGTTTCCTGGATCATTGGGTACTGAGCCTACACCAGTGCCCCCATGCTCAAAGGTAGGGACCCTAGTCTGACTGATCTCAGTCCTGCAGTGAATGTCCCTGTGGCCCCCAACCCAGGTAGAGTTGGAGGTGACTCATGGGGCCTGGCTGGGATGTGCATGTTGGGCTGGTACTAGCTGACCCTGTCCCACCATTACCTTTTCCATCCTCCCTGTTCCCTCCTCACCCCAGTTTCACATCTGAATCTGAAGATACCAAGCAGGCTTCTCTGGACAGCATCAACTCATCCCCAGGGCCTTTCATGACTATCTTTTAGGAGGGAGGAGGATTTCTCCAGGCTTAGAGGGACAGCCATGTCTAATAATTTTCCCCTTTGTGGGTAGAGAGAACTTCCTATGGATTTGATGCCTGTAAAAATTTAGTATGGCTCTATCAGCTGAAAACAAACCAAAACCAACCCCTACCTCTAAATCGCAAACATCAGAAAAACAATTATAACTAAACCCCACGTTGAAGTCAGGGGTGCCTGCGTCCTGGAGAGATGGCTTGTAGGAGCCATCATCTTCCAAGAGGATTCCATCTGGCTCCTGTGTACTCCCAAAGTATCATGCTCTCACAGCCATCTCCTCCCACCAGAGCTACTCTGAGGCAGTCTGGGTGCTGAGACTGATAATGACTCTTGCCTGTGCTTTGCACTGCATTAAATCTCTCTCTCTGTCTGTCTGGAGGGAGCACATTGATTCCTGTAACAGTTACCACCCATGGCTTTAGAAATGATGACAGCCACACCTCCTCCCTCCCAACCCCCCTTAAAGAGCCAAGATGAGGAATAGGAGGAAAAATACTTTCTAAAAAAGAAAAAGAAAAGAAACCTTGTTCAATTAGGGCTGGGAAGATTCTTGAGAAGCATGGGACTGAATCCTTTTCCTTTCTCTCTTCCTCCAACATCCCCACTTCCCCCAACCCTGTCACCCTCTATACTGGGCCTGACCTTGGACCCACTGCTTCCAGAGTCAGTGGAAAGACTCAGTTACTCTCTCTCTCTTTGTCATTGCTTCTGTCACTCTTCTCCCCAATAATATTCTGATTGATTTGACCATGATTAAAGGGTGTGTGGTCCTTGATAAAAAGTCCTCTGCTACTCAAAGAACTGCCACTTGATTGCTGTTACTCTTATTGATCTCATCTCTCTCTCTCTCTTTCTCTCTCTCTCTCTCTCTCTCTCTCTCTCTCTCTCTCTCTCTCTCTCTCTCGTTGCTTTTTTTGGTGAGGCAATTGGGGTTAAGTGACTTGCCTAGGGTCACACAGCTAGTAAGTGTCATGTGTCTGAGACTGGATTTGAACTCATGTCCTCCTGACTCCAAGGCCAGAATTCTATCCACTATGTCATCTAGCTGCCCCTTACTCTTACTGATCTTCAAAAGATGGAGAAAAATGGGAGAGATGCCATAGCATTCGAGATAGGTAAATGTCTTGACTTTCAGAAGAGGGGCCTGCAGGCTATGGGCTAGTGAACTTCAGTTCCTGATAAAACTCTGGAATGTCTTATTAATGGCTGATTTGTGAGCATTTAGAAAAGGAAGCTGTGATTACTAAAAGCCCTCATGGGTTCATCAAGAACAGGTCATGTCAGACTAAATCTCATTTCTTTTTTGAGCTGGTAGGTCAAGGGAACACTTTAGGTAGAGAATTCCTAGAGAGTTTCTGGATTTTGGCAAAATATTTGACAACCTCTTGTTCAATTCTTATGGATGAGACAGAGAGATGGGAGCTAAGCAATAGTGCAGTCAGGTGTATTTGAAACTGGTTGGATGGCCAGACCCAAAGAATAATCACTAATGGGTCGATGGCTTCTTGGAAGGTGTTCTGTAATGGAAAACTCCGAGTCCACCCTTGGCATTGTACTTGTAGCCACAGACGATGCCAGTGTTCTCCTGGTCTATGTTAAAAGCAGCATAGTGCCCCAAATCAGAGAGGCAGCTGTTTCACTTTCTTTTCCCTTGGCTAGATACTATCTGGGAGTCCTGTGTTTGGTTGTAGATTGTACACCTTAGGAAAGGCATAGACAAAGTGGAACGTGTTCAGAGAAAGGGCAGTTAGGATGATGTGAAGACTAAAGGCCTGGTTAAAGGGACTGGAGAGGGTTAGATTAGAGAAGAGAAGAAGTAGGGGGACATGGCAGCTCCCTTGAAATACTGGAAGGGCTGTTGGGTGGGAGTGTCTCTAGAGGGTAAACTAATGGAAACAATTAGCATCAACCACAGAGAGGCAAATGGCCACTCAACATAAAGAAAACCTTCCTACCCATGACAGCTGTCCAGAAGTGGATTGGGCCACCTCTGACGCCCCTCTGGCTCTGAGATTCCAGAGGTTGCAGATATTGGTAGATTCTTAAAATTTGTACTTTTTTAAAAAATGCCCAAGTGTTCATTGTTGATTGTATTGATCCTTTCCACACCCTAGCACACATAGCTCTTAGCCATTATCAATCAACAAACATTTATTAAGTGCCTACTCTGTGCCAGGCACTATGTAAGCCTATGTAAGGATACCAAGAGAGAATGAAACGGGAGTTTAATTTCTAATGGGGCATTAGGATACATTCTTAGTGATGTTATCTTTGTTTTCAATATCTCATTTTTTCCAATTATGTATGAAAACCATTTTAAACATTCGTTTTTTAAAATTTTGAGTTCCAAATTCTGTCCCTCCCTCCCCCCAAATTGAGAAGGCAGGCAATTTGATATAGGTTCTATGTGTGCAATCATGCAAAACGTATTTCCATATTAGTCATGTTGTGAAAGAAAACACTGACTTAAAAAAAAACATTAAAAATATAGAAAGTGAAAAAGAGTATTCAGACTCCATCAATTCTTTCTCTGGAGGTGGATAGTATTTTTCATTATGGGTCCATTGGAGTAGTCTTAGATCATTGTATTGTTGAGAATTGGTAAGTCATTCATCATTGATCATCGTGCAGTATTTCTATTACTGTGTATGATGTTCTCCTGGTTCTGCTCCCTTCACTTTGCATCAGTTCAAATAATGCTATCTTTGAAAACAAAGGATAGCAATATATATTTGTGTCCCAACCTCCTTCTGACTCCCTAAAATAGATACTAACGATGGTAGGTGTTGAATACCAAGGAGCTTGGTGCTGCTGGAGTGGACAGAGCATCAGGCCTGGAGTCAGGAAGTTCAGAATTTCAGTGTGACCGCAGATGCTTGCTAGCTGTGTGACCCTGGGCAAACTGTTTGCCTCAGTTTCCTCAACTGTAAAATGGGGATAATAATAACACCTATCTCCCAGGGTTATTGTGGGGATGAAATGAGATAAAATCTATAGAGCACATGGCAAACCTTAATGTGCTATATAAATGCTAGCTGTCATTATTATTATTAATACTGGCATTATGCTTTCCAGATTTTTATAATAGCTTTGCTTGTGAACTCTTGATTTGTTTTCCAAGTTGTAGTACTTTACATTTCTACTAGAAAAATATTAATGGTGGTAAAACTACCTTCATATGTACCTGGGTGAAATGGATGCTAAGCTTGGTACTTCCATACTTACTGTTACTGTCACCTTTTGAAGGTACTTAAAAGTAAGCAGAATTCAGCTGGACGCAAGTGAATGCTATACACTATAGGGCAAAAGTGTAAAGGAATAATGATGTGGAGTTTTATGTCTTTGTCACTGTCTCGTGTTTTCAATCAGGAGCCAGCAGAGAAGAAATCTACAAGCACTGGGAGTGGTTGGAACAAAATGTCATGAAGACCTTATCTGTGTTTGACTCAAATGAAGATATTACTAGTTTTGTGCATGGAAAGATAAGAGTAAGTGCCATGGTGTCCTCTTACTAGCAGAAAGGCTACAATCCTAGTGCTGAATGGAATCAGCAGCCTCTGTATGGGGCTCCCAGACAGCCTTGACTTTGATTTTTCAAGGCACCTCCTTCAATGGCTAGGTTCTGTTCATTCTGCTTTCATGATCTCTCTCTGTGTTGCTGTCTCTGTCTCTCTCTGTGTGTCTCTGTTTCTCTGTCTGCCCCTCTCTCTCTCTCTCTCTCTCTCTCTCTCTCTCTCTCTCTCTCTCTCACACACACACACATACACACACACACACACACACACACACACACACACACACACACCCATAACCTTTTTTTTGTGTGTTTTGCTAGGCAATGGGGTTAAGTGACTTACCCAGGGTCACACAGCCACCCATACCCTTTCTCTCTACTTCTTTCCCTCTAGACAATTGTCATTATTTTGTTCCTGCCTTGCAGCCATCCTTTTCAACACTGCCCAAGAGATCTTCCTAACCCACAGCCTTGGTCATGTCATTCCTCTACTCACAAACCCATTGTCCCCTGGATAAAGTGTTTGCTCCCAGTCCTGCTGTCCCAGGCAACTCCGAGGTTTGTTACAGTCTCCTACCCTAGGCTGATCTTCATACACCTGATGATGTAGCCAAATCAGGCCTGTCTTCTGTCCTCCACTTCCCTTCTGAACAACATGCACATGCAGGTGTATATGCACAGATACACCCCCCACCCTCGTGGGTGAAAGTGATCACCCCTTTTCCCTCTTCAAATATCTTGTAGCATTTTGCCTGGTTCTTGCTTGTGTATCTATCTCACTCTCCCTTGTGTTCCAGTTCTTTGCATATATTTTCCCCACTATCAGACCGTCAGCTTCTTCAGAGCAAGACCTGTGTTACATATTTTTGTATTCCTAGTGCCTGGCACAATTTGTTTCACATAGTGTAGGTGCTTAATGTTAATGGGATGATAAATAACAGGTCAACCCCTCAGGGTTGCAAAGAGGCACATGTGGGCACCAGAACCTGACCTTTCCAAGGGATATTTTTATTTTTAAAAGGGACTCTTGTGAGTTCTTGTTCATGTTTTCCAATAAATCATCCGTGAAATATCCACTCAGTGCTCTAGGGATCTTTTACTCTTCTCATGATATTTTGTCGACAACATCTATGGTGTCTACCTCTTGTTTGTACGACATGATCAACCTACCTCCTTTTCTAGTCATGTATGTCCTCTGTGATATCCTTTATAATGCTTCTCACACAAAAGTCATTCTTTGTCACATGCAGTAGCATATCTCTTTATTGCATGGGATGAGACGATATGGACCATTTTTGATCTGGACTAGTAAAGATAGTGGTGAAATCATTAAATCATTCAGACTCTCAACTACTGATGACTTGGAACGCCGTTTTGGTAAGATTGCCAACCCTCTGTCCAGGTAAACATTTATTAAGACCCAACTGTGTGCAGAGCACAATGGTAGGCACTAATTAGGATGCAAAGTTTAGATAAGACCCGGTCCCTGCATTTATGGAAGTGTGGTAGAAAACTCTGACACATACACAAAACACTCTACTATAATGCACAAATACATATATATTATATATATCTATATACACATATATATAAGAAGGTACAAACTGATTACTGAGTGAAGAGAGGGAATAGAGAGGAAATGTAATGTATTATAGATTGAAAGGGATCAGGGGAAACTTCTTGAACAAGTATGGGTGAAGGTAAGAATTCAGCAGGGGAGGGAAGGCATTTCATGCCTAGCTAATAAAAACATGAAGTACCTAAGTCATGTTCTGGGCACAAGTAACTGGGCCATGAAGTATGAAGAGGGAATGAATATGACATAAAGCTGGGAATGCAGGGAGGTATCACATTGAAGGGATCCTTCAACTCCAGACAAAGTTGTTAAAAATTGATTAAGTGGGGAATAGGGAGCCCCTGATAATTTTTGAGCAGAGAGGTGACGTGACCAGAAGTCTTGGTAGGTAGGAGAAATTAGCCCAGCACTTGTATGAAGGATGGAGGAGAGGGCTTGTTAGGAGGCTTTTGCCACAACCCAGGTGGGTGGCAATGAGGGTCTGTTTTCTGGGAATAAGGAAGTAGAGATAGATACGAGAGCTGGAACAGTCCCATGATTTGCTGACTGATTGTACCCAAGAGGTCGGTGCTGACAAACACCAAGGTTTTGAACCTGGGAAATTGAGTGGATGATGTTACCAACAATGGAAATAAGATGGAAGAAGGAGCAGTTTTAAGAGGGAAAACTGATAAGCTTGGTCGTCCACAGTTCTTTGGAGTTGCCAGGTGCCTCTGGTGCTCCATTGTGGGGCATGGAGGTGACTATTGAGTCTGGAGCTCAGAACAGAGGTCAGGGCTGGAAATACCGTTTTGGAAGGCTGTCTCCATGGGGCTGTGAAAGTGAATAATATGCTTGCCAAGGGAGAAAATACAGTAAAACTGTAGCTTTATTTATTACCTTCCAGGAAGTAATTAGATTAAATGCATTTTCAGAAGCTCTTTCTCTCTCCTTTAGGGACTGATTGCCGAAGAGGGAAAAGATTGTCTCGTAAAAGGTGACGATCCTGAGAAGTTTCGAGAAGCTCTCATGAAATTTGAGAAATGCTTTGGTTTAGCCAAACAAGAGAAATTGGTGACCTATTATTCATGCAGTTATTGGAGAGGACGAGTTCCTTGCCAGGGATGGCTCTATCTTAGCTCCAACTTTCTGAGTTTCTATTCTTTTTTGTTGGGATCAGAAAGTAAGTGTTGGGTTTTTGTTTTTTTGTTTTTTTGTTGTTGTTGTTGTTGTTGTTCTTTACCATGACTTTGGGCTTTGGGACTGATAGACTTCTTGGGTTTTTAAATTAAGTGTGCAAAAATTGAATCAATATGTGCCAGTAACTGGTTTAAAGGCAACAATAACAGATTACTAAAGAAAACATGTCTCCTTTTGGTTCCATGTTTTCTTCACCACTTTTAAGGTTCAATATGAAGGGAAGGGGAGAAGGGAATAGGCATTTATTAAGCACTGACTGTAAAAGCACTTACAGACATCTCATTTGATCCTCACAACAATCCTGGGAGTAGCTGCTATTAATATCCCCATTTTATAGTTGAGGAAACTGAGGCAGACAGTGGTTAAGTGACTTGCCCAGTATCACACAGCCAGTAAGTGTCTGTGGTTGGATTTGAACTCAGTTCTCCCTGACTTCAAACCCAGTGTTCTATCCATTCATTGTACCACCTAGATGCCTAGAAAAACTATGTATATGATGTGCTTAAAGTTTTTTAAAACTTACAAAAGGTCACATCATCGAAACTTTGAGAATTGAAGGAAAAACCTTTCAGGTTGTTCATTTAGGGAGAATTCTTAGTCCGGAGATAGAGATAAAAGATCAAATAGACAATTCTGATTGCATCCAATTCAAGAGGCACTTATTAAGCACTTACTATATGTATGATACCATCCTGGCCTCTAAGTACACAAAGCCAAAAGGAAACAACTATCCCAGCCTTCCAGGTTCTTGCCTTCTTCTGGGGGATACAACATATGCACAGATAGGGAAATGCATGATGCCTTAAGGTGGGAAAGAGGGCTAACAGCTGGAACGATTGAGAGGCAGCACATGAATTGATCCTGGAAGGGAGCCAGGGTCTCCAGGTCACAAAGATATGGTGGAGGGGCTGTATTCTCAGGCATGGGAGATAGTCTGTAGGCATAGTCACAGATGCATATAGTGGGTGCTTAATAAATGCTGGTTGGCTTCTTGATTGGTTGGTTGACAATGGGGTGACTGGGAAGTAATAAGGGGAAAGGCAAGTGAAGAAGTACAAAGATGGCGCTTGGCCAGGGCCAAGCCTAAGGCACCAGCACTCAAGGCTTACACAGGCCCAGAGAGTGGCCTGAACCTCGAAGGGAATTTGGTAAATATTACTAGGATGATACTCGAGGCTAGCATATTAGTCTGTGGATAGCTTTAAAATTATAAGCTGGCTGTGCCTGTTTTCCAGAGATGATGTAACCTACTTGGACCTACTTGGTCCAACAGCTTCATGTCATGTAGCCTCAGAGAAACAAGACAGGAAGTGCTACAGAGTAGGATTTTTTTGGTGCAGACCAGTGATTTCATCAGTATAGGGAACTCCTGGTGAAGAAATGCCTTCTGCCAACCTTAATGATGATGATGATGATGATGATGATGATGATGATGATGATGATGATGTTAATGGCTACCATTTCTATAGTGCTTTAAGATTCGCCAAGCTCTTGACATATACTGTCTCTTTTGATCCTTGCACTAACCCTGTAAGGTATGTGCTATTACTATTCCCGTTTGAGAAATGAGAGGTTAAGTGACTCCTCCAGGGTCACACAGCTAAGAAGTGACTGAGGAGGTGGGATTCAAGCTCAGGTCTTCCCAACTCTCAAGTCCAATTCTTTCCCCACTATGCCAAGCAACCATTGCAGATCAGTTGTTGTTTGTTTTTCCTTCTTAAAGAGGACCAATGACATCAGGCAGGTGATAATCTTGACTTAAAAGTGAATTGGGTTTTAGTGAGGCAGAGCTATGCAGAGTCATCAGCCTCACTGTCTTCTCCAGAATCATCAAGGTCCAGTGGCAAGACATAGGTCAGGACAACTGGAGATGACCCCAGATGCAGTTGGAGACCTTGGCCTTTTTAAGCTAAGGTCTTTCCCAGGTCGCAGTTTGTCTGAGACAACACCCATTCAAAGGTTCAAGGCTAGGTAAGAATTGAGACAAAAGAAGGCCATTTGCCTTCACAACAGAACCTATCTGGGAGGGAATTCTGGCCAGAAAAGAAATAGTTGCTATTTATGTTCACTCTGAGCCAACTGGACCCAAACCATGAGCAAGTGAGGCTTTGGCTGGGACCTATTTTTGGCCAGCCTGCGAGAGCCAGAGTAAAAGGTCCATTGTAGATCTGCATCTACTCACCAAGGGATGGTCTTAGGCCATTGCCCTGGGACGATGCCAGAGATAGGACTTGAATCCAGGTTTTCCTGACTCAGACTCTGACATCGAGGCTGACTCTCATTCTTCAACTTCATGTTGCCTCGAAGCAGCAGGTGCTACTTAAAAATAAGATAAAAATTAATGAGAAAAAAATTCTGATAGGAAGAGGCAATTAAGTTCAATAACAAAATAGATGGCTATATACACATGTATGTTTTTAAGGTTCCATTTACATTTTTCTCTGATTACCCCGATTATGTGTTTATAACGTTTTAACCAGTGTTACATCCTAGAATCTAAGCATCATTTTCTCCACACAGCTAATGGCTATTCTAAAAAATTTGATTAACTAATAAATGTAAGTGAATAGTGAGAATTTAATCACATCTTTGCTTAACTCAACTTTGCAGTCAAACTTGTTATCTCCTGGGATGCCATCTCCAAACTTGAAAAAACATCAAATGTCCTTCTCACCGAGAGTATCCATGTGTGTTCCCGGGGGGAAGATTACTACTTTTCAATGTTTTTGCACATTAATGAAACATTCCTTCTCATGGAGCAACTGGCCAACTATGCAGTAAGAAGACTTTTTGACAAGGAGACGTTTGAAAATGACCTAGTCCTCAATGATCCTCTTAAAATCACCAAAAGGTAGTAACAGTTCAATTGCGATGGGTTGCCTTTTTGTTTGCACCTTTTGAAGTGGGTTCAGATCTCACCTCTGTGGGATTTGTGTGTGTGCCCCTGGGCACATGTCTTATCCTCTCTAGGATGTGAGTGGGTTAGGATAGGTGGCCCCTAAGGTTCCTCCCAGCTCCAATAATAGCTGGTGTGATTTGGTTTTTATAACCATCCTATGTGGTAAATAAAGGGCTAGAGACCTTACTATCCTGAAGCTTGGGCACATTTCTTAAGCTCATGATGATGGAGTGTGTGTCCCCTATGAAATTCAAATCCAGGTCGTTTTGCCCTTCCAATTCTGTGCTCTGGCCATTGTGCCACACTGCCTTCTCTGGCACTGATTGACACAAGTTATTAACTGGTTTGTGCCATAATGGTACAGGTGTTCACTGTTGGCTTAATTTCACTGGTATACATTTACTTGCTTATTCATGTATACTTCCTTCAGAGTTGTGTCTTTATTCTTGGATAATTTTTCTCTTGAGATGTCATTGTGGTTAGATCAGATTTCTGAAACGTTATGGCTAGGGAAGGATCTCTCTGTAGGTTGAGGCAGGATCTGCCCTCCAAGACCTTCTAGGCATTTGGGCAGCTGTTGGTTAGTTATAACTGCATTGCTTTTAGTGGCAATCACTTAGGCATTTTCTCCAAGGGGTTTTGCATATTTAACTTGGCTAAATCTGCAATTCATTCTTAGATAAATGTGTGGATTGTATTTCAAATGGATTCTATCCTGAGCTGTCCAAGTTGTCCTCTAACTTTGGCTTGTTCCTGAGGCTTAACATCTTGCTTGATTGCGCAGGGAGAGGGAGAGAAAAGCAACCAGAAGTAGCTGTTGGAAGGAACTTCTGACAATGAAGGTGAAAGGTGAAGGTTGTATCTATGAAAGAAAGAGGAGAGAACTGTGAGGCACATTCCCCTTTGACTCCTTTGGATTATAGACTCCAAGATTTAGATGGAAAGAACCTTGGAGGGCTTGTCTTGCAGAGGAGGAAAACTGAGGCACAGGGAGGGAAAGTGACCTGTCCAAGGTACTGAAAGGATCAGAATTTTAAAACTAGAAGAGACCCCAGAAGTCATATAGTCAAACCTTCTCATTTTACAGAGGAGGAAACTGAGGCCCAGGGAGGGGAAGGGACTTGATCAACATTGCTCATCGGCTGGAAGGGATTCCAGAGGCCATTTAGTCAAAGCCTCTTATTTTACAGAGTAGGAAACTGAGGCCAAGGGAAGGGGAGTGACTTGTCCAAAGTCACACAGGCAGTAAGGAGCCTGCTGCTCGGCTGTATTGGCTAGACCAGAATGAATGATTTCAGGGTTCTGTGGCTCACAACATGGAGTAGGCTTGTTGCATTTGCCTGTTTTCTTTCACCGCTAAGATAGGCCTGAAATCCAAGATAGAATTTAATTGTGAATCTATTTGTGCTAATTTTCTATATGCCTTTAAAGAATTAGTCACAGGCTTGAGACATTTTGTACTGTACACAAACATTAGTGTTGTGTGCTTATTAATAAGAGGTAAGTGCTATACCCCAAGCTGGGGGACTGAAATCTCTATTTGTGTTTGCTTTCCATTTGATTGTTGTCTTTACTACTTATGTCTTGTTTAGCTGTTAAAAGGTACTCTTCAAGGTCTTTTTCTTTTCCTTTTTTCCATTTGAAAAGGGATCTGTCAGAAATTTACTTAGCTCCTTAGTCTTTGTTTAAAAGGAATGTAGCAAATGAGTTTTTTGCTCTGCATAATTTCTCAAGAGCGTCTTTTCAAAATTACATGCTTTTAAGTTCATTTATGAGAATGCTAACTTATTGAAAAGGCATACACAAATGACATTTCAAATGATGGTAAAAATTAATATAATTTGCTCTTAATGTGCATCAGTATAATTTTGAAACATCTTATCAAATTTTTCCTCTACCTGTGCCAGGAAGATGAGAAAGGAAAAGGGAGTTTGGCCTTTACTTTGCTAAGTGTGTATTTTGTTTGTTTGTCGGTCCTATGATTCCAGTGGTACAGCCACTGACTGACATTGTGTCTGCCACCTTGGAGTCTTAAAATTGCCTGGGGGCAATGAGAGGTGAAGTGCGGGGCCCTAGGCTTTCCCTGCCAGAACACTTCAGAGGCAGGCCTCCAACCCTGGGCTTTATAGCTCTGACCCTAAAGCTGGCCATTTTGCTGTTCTGCCACAGCTCCCCCTTGCAAGTATGAGTTATTGCTTAATATGCATACTACCCCACCCAAATGGCATTGTTGTTTGCCCGGTTTCCAGGGGCCCCGAAACAACCATTTGTTTTTCACCTTCTTCATAGATCTCTTTATAAATTAATCAAATGACTGTGTTTATTGAACACCTGTTCCTCCTTCAAGTATGCATTCTCTTTTGCATATATTAGGTTTTACCTCCAATTTTTGATAAACAGATGTGAAAGATTTTTGATAGTCAGAAATGAAAAATGCTGTTCAGAAGGTAGGTTGGGTCCATATTCGCTTATTAGGAATATAGACTTCTATGAGTCCATAAGTATTCTGCTTTGATACTTGGAAAATGACCTTCATGTTTAGATATTATATTCTTTTGCCTAAACTGTACAATGATAAATCCAGGAAAATGTCCCTTTTTTTTCCACAGCTGATTTTTTGCATTGTAAAGTATTGGTAATAATGTAAAAGTGAGTCTTACAAATGTTCAATTAAAAATCATGTCTTTAAAAAAAAAAGAGTATAGACTAATTCACCCCTTAACAGAAAGTTTCAAACCCAACTACATATATATGACTTTTGAAATGTTTCATCTATCAGCCACAACTGAGAGAGATTTTGTTGGAAGGAAGAATGAAAGAGACCAGCCTAGTAGGAAATAGTGGTTGTCTTCCATTGGGCTATCTGAGAAAGAATAGGCCATTCAGCTTTTTAGTACGTTTTCTTCTTAATGCTGATAGTTGTTCCTTGACCCTTCCCCTGCGGTGATCTGCCAGAGTAGGGAGTAATGCCAGAGAAATCAAGTTCAAACCTAAGTCCTCTAGACTCCAACTTTATCGTTCTATGTCCTATCCTTGACACCATGCTACTTCTGGTTAGGCACTTAATTAAGACAGAATTGAATGTTAAAGGGACAGCTTGGTGGCACAGTGGATAGAATTCTGGCCCTGGATTCAGAAGGACCTGAGTTCAAATATGGCCTCAGACACATAACACTTACTAGCTGTGTGACCCTGGACAGGTCACTTAACCCCATTGCCTAGTCAAAAAAAAAAAAAAAAGAAGAATTGAATGTTAAGACAATTCTTATCCCTATTAACATTTCCTCCCTGAAAGAAGTATTTCTTTATTGGCAGATAGGGGGTACCATGTTGCACAGAGTGCTGGACCTGGAATCATAAAGACCTGAGTTCAAATGTTGGCCTTAGACACTTATCAGGTATGTGACCCTGGATGAGTCATTTCACCCTGTTCGCTTCAGTTTCCTCATATGTAAAATGAGCTGGGGAAGGAAATAGCAAACCACTCCAGTATCTCTGCAAAGAAAACCCCAAATGGGGTCATGAAGAGTTGGAATAACAATGATAATTCTAGCTCTTCTTTATTTTTTGTTCCGAAGCACTTATTTCTTCCTCTCTATCACTAAATATTAATAAACTGAGGTTTATTAGAACTGAGTTCTAGTTCTGACTCTGACATTAACATGGCTGCATGCCCTTAGGCAAGTCCTTTCCCCCTAGCTGGGCCTTAGTTTCCCCCTCTGGTGAATGAAGGGGTGATTTGATGGTTTCTAAGAAACTGGCTACCTCTGGGGTTCTGTGGTCCTAACTCTTATAATGCAGCCCTTCACCATCTCGTTGTCTCGTGTAAGTGCGGTCTCTTGTGTTCCACTGGACACTCCCACAGGACAAAGACTATGTCTTTTCGTGTGTCATTCAGAGCTCCAAGCAGAGTGGGGCTGAATAAGTCCTTTTTGAATGAAGACCCTGTGAACAGAGCATCAGATACCCTACACAGACAATCCCTGTGAACTTGCATAGGTAACCCTTTGAGATCAGCGTGCTTCATTCCCCTCCCCCAATTCCTTAGCCATTTCATGCTTTTCACACCTTTATTCACTCTGTTCCCTGTTTTTTTTTTAAGTAATAATAATAATTGCTAGCCTCTATTAAGTACCTACTATGTGCCAGGCACTGTGCTCAGAGCTTTACAATTATTATCTCATTTGCTCTTCACAACAACCCTGGGAGGTAGGTTCTGTTGTTATCCCCATTTTACAAATGAGAAAACTGAGGAAGACAGCGGTGAAATGATTTGTCCAAGGTTACATAGCTAGGAAGCATGTGAGGCCGTATTTGAACTCAGGCTTCCTAACTCCAGGCCCAATGCTTTCCCCACTGTGCCACTGAGCTGCTTCTGAGTCCATCCTCGCCCGTCTCCATCTGCTGAATCCCTACCCACCCTTTATTCTTATCCCACAGAACAATGGAGAACCTGGCGCGCAGTGAGCAATTCAGTTCATTTTTTAGGCTCCCCAAAGAAGAAAACCTTAAAGAAGTACACGAATGTTTCTTACGGATACCATCGAGCCACTTGAACGCTCATGGGAAAATGTGTATTTTTGAAAACTACATCTGCTTTACCAGTCAGGACGTCAGTCTCTGCAGTGTAGTCCTTCCACTAAGAGAGGTAAGATAATAGAGGCCTTTTACGGACCAATGAACATTTTTCTTTCTGCTCAAAATTGGATGAGAGCTTCCCTTTCTACCTTAATTTCTTCATTTAAGTTCATCATTGTGCTGCAGAATAACTGTATTTGCCAATTCAAAACTTGGTGACTTGAGATTATATTTGTAAAGCACCTAACACAATGCCTGGCACATAGTAGGTGCTTAACACGTTTATTCCCTTCCCTATGTACTGCAAGAAGAACCTCCATAGTGAGAGGGTGAGGTCCTGAAATTGACTAGTCCCAGTGTGAGCTTGGGCCGGCTTGAGCACACGTTTAGGCACTCTGGATAGCAAGAGGCAGGCTCAACGCCCAGCAGCCAAAAGTCACTGTCTCACCTGGTATGTGCAGTTCAAAGAGGGAGAGACTAGAACAGAAAACCAGAGCTTGGTGAGCCTTGCCCAAATCAGTCCCCAAGCATTTCCGAAGTCCTAGGCACCGTGCTAGGTAATAGGAACACAGTTACCCAAAAATGAAGCAATTTCTGTTTTCAGGAAGATATGTCGACATAAAAGTGTATGTAAAACAGACAGCTGGAAAGGGAGGTCCACAGCAGACTCTAAGAGGCAGAGGGAAGGAGGAAGTGCATTCAGGCCCAGGCGAAGGGGGATCCCGCCAAACGACATCTTTTGTCGCCGTATTTTGTAGACCAGGAAAACTCCTTCCTCAAGAAATAAAATGGCTTGGCCCAAGGTTATGCCAGTCAGTCTTGATGTTTCAATGGCGGGGCCCGTCCTTGTACTGCAGAACCAGGAGACCTCTCCCGCTAGGCTTTGTGTGAAAATTAAGGGGGCAAAAAAAAATGACTCATGTTTGTCCTTTTCTCTTCAGGTCCTTGCTGTAGACAAGGTGGATGACTCTAGCCAATCAGTCATCATTAGCATCAAAGGAAAGAAAGCCTTTCGATTCTCTGACATCAGAGACTTTAAGCAGCTTGTGGCAAAACTGAGACTTATAGGTGGAGCAGCTTCCATTCTGCAGCAGGATGTTAGCACTGAGGTAATTACATAGCAAGTGTTGTTCTTCTCAGGGCTCTGTTAGATGGTGCTTCATCTTCTCAAAAGTAGTAATGATGGTGGTGGTGGTGATGGTAGTAGTATAAGTGGTAGTGGTAGTATTAAGTGACATGTATATAGGGTTTTAGGGCAGTTAGGTGGCGCTGCCGTGGATAGAGCGCCAGGCCTGGAGTCAGGAACACTTATCTTTCTGAGTTCAAATCTGGCCTCAGACACTTATTAGGTGTGTGACCCTGGGCAAGTCACTTTACCCTGTTTGCCTCAGTTTCCTTATCTGTAAAATGAGCTGGAGAAGGAAATGGCAAATCACTTCAGTATCTCAGCCAAGAAAACCCCAGATAGGGTCACGAATAGTCAGACAGGACTGAACAGCAAATACAGTGCTTTAAGACTTGTGTACACTTTATCATTTCGTTTGGTCCTAACTACAGTCCTGGGAGGTAGGTGCTATTGTTATCTCCATTTTACAGATTAGAAAACTGAGGCTTAGGAAGGTTTAGTGACATGTTTGGGGCAACACAGCTAGTATCTGAGATAAGATTTGAATATAGTTCCTCATGGAGCAGCTCGGTGGCGCAGTGGATAGAGCACTGGCCCTGGAGTCAGTAGGAACTGATTTCAAATTAGGCCTCAGACACTTTATACTTACTAGCTGTGTGACCCTGGGCAAGTCATTTAACTCTGATTGCTTCACCAAAAAAAAAAAAAAGAATATAGTTCCTCAGATTCCAAATCTGTATACCACACTGCCTTTCATAACAGTACCTTTTATCTTCAAAGCTACACCTACAAAAACATAGTTTTTAATAGTTGCATTAATTTGTGATCCCATCAATATGGGCATTCCCTCCAACAGTGCATATTGCAGTCCATCCATGCCCTCAATTAGTCAATCAACAAAGCATTTATTAAGTACCTACTATGTGCTAGGCACTTTGCAAGATTCCAGAGATATAAGGGGCAGCTAGGTGGCGCAGTGGATAGGGCACAGGCCCTGAAGTCAGGAGGACCTGAGTTCAAATCCGGCCTCAGACCAAACACTTGACACTTACTAGCTGTGTGACCCTGGGCAAGTCACTTAACCCCAATTGCCTAAAAAAAAACAAACAAACAAAAAAAAAGATTCCAGAGATATAAAGATAGCTAAAAGAAAATTTTTTAAGCCCTTCACATCCTGGGCTACTCTTCTCCTGGGCTCCATCCTTCCCCAGGGAGTCCACACAAAGGGCTAGAGATTATCTATCCATTGGTTATCCCTTGCTCTTACCATGTGACTACCCCTCCCCCTTCTTTGCTGGTCCTACAGCTAGCTCCCTGCCGTTCTGCCCACCAATTCTGTCAAGGAATTGGGAAGTCCAGAAGACCGAAGGGTTGGGGGAAAGGGGACAGGGAGGGAGCAGAGATAATGAATTCTGTTTTGCACATGCTGCATTTGACATGTCTGTAGGACATTGGATTTTCTTAGAGAAAACACAGCTATATCTCAGCAGAGAGTCTAGGGACAGATATGTGGATCTCTATGCAGATCCCAGATCTTCTTCATAGAGATGATAATGGAATGCATGGGAGCTGATGAGATCACCAAAGGAGATGATGCAAAGCAATAATTTTTCACCTGGGATCTGTGAACTTGTGTTGTTGTTTTTAATCATTTGATAACCGCATTTTGGTATAATTGGTTTTCTTTTGTAACCTAATGTACTTTATTCTGTTCATTTAAAAACATTGTCCTGAGAATAGGCTTCACCAGACTGCCCAAGGGGTCCATGACCCAAAAAAAGATCAAGAGCCCCTGGTAGAAGAGAAGGGGGCCAAGGCCAGAGCCTCAGGGACACCCACAGTTAGAGGGCTTGACCTGGATGAGGAAGGAGCAAATGGAACTGAGAGGGAGCAGTCAGGAGAGCCAGGAGAGAACAGCATCCCCCAAACCTAGAAGAGAATAGTATCCAGAAGACAGAAATCAGCAACATCAAAGGCTGTAGAGAGGGCAAGAAGGAGGAACATTGAGAAAAGGCCAGTGGATTGGACAGCTTGAGATTTGGCCCTGAGAATTTGGAGAGAGCTGTTTCAATGGTGTGATAAGAAGTTTGAGTGGAAGCCAGACTGGGGAGGGTTTAGAAGAGAGGAAGAGAGGAAGCAGCAGCACCAATTGTAAACTCAAGATGTTTATCTGGGAAGGGGAGGAAAGAAATAGGATGATAGTCGGTGGGCATGTTCGGACCAAGTGAGGAATATTCCTGTCCAGGGGCGTATGGTTCATTCACCTCCACAGAACATTTTCTACCATGCCATAGAAACCTGTGCACCCTGGAAGCTCACTCCCACTCCTGGACTAAGTCTCCCATTGGAAGTACCCTTCAGCCCTGTGGCCTCTCTCTCTCTTTGGTTGGTTCCTCCCCAATCCTCCAATTTAAGGAGGAGGCACAGGCCAACCCTGTCTTGGTCCCCCTCCAGGTTTCACTGCTGACTTGTTTACCCGCTTCAGCTCCTTTTTATGTGGTTGGTTCCCTCCATTGAAATGTAAGCTCCTTGAGGGTAGGGATTGGTTTTATTTCTACTCATATTTGGATCCTCAATGCCTGGCACACTGTGAGCAATAGTATATAAATGTTCATTATCATTGTTATTATTATTATAGTAGGCACTTACTAAGTGCTTGTTGACTTGACTTAGGCACCTTTGCAGGCTGTATTTGAAGGGCCAGTAGATTGGGAGAAATTGAAGTGAAGAGAAAGAATGGAGATGAAGGGGGAGGGGCAATTTGCTGGAAAAGCTGGGAATAGATGGCATTCGGGGTTCACGTAGAGGGGCTAGAGCTTCATTTTCATCCGAGACTGGAGCGGAGCAGATAGTGGAGGAAGACATCAGATTTAATGTGAAATAAGAGGGGAGATGAAGGAGCTCTCAGTAAATAGCCTGAATTTTTTCAGTGAAATATGAAATGAGATCTTGAGCTGAGAAGGCCAGAGGCTTGAAGGAGAGACAAGGTTTGGAATAGCTACTATGGAGAATGGGATAGCAAATCAGTTAGGGAGGAATAAGATATTTGCCTCGTTGAAGCAAGGGTCCAGTTGAGATGACGTAACAAATTTGTAGTGGATGCAGTCAACCCAGCAGCATGATTTTTCTCCATTTCTTTTCAGCAGCACATGAATAGGAGCAAAGGTGGAAGATGGTGGTAATAATTCAGGGTTGGAGCTTGCCAAGACATGGTCAGTGATGGGACAAAGGAGTCACGGGCGGAGGATAGTACAGAGTTGAGTTGGTTTACCTTGGTGGGGGGGGGGGGGTCAGGATAGGGAAGGGAGGACAGAATAGCCAGTCCCGGGGGTGATGTGGCCTGGGAAAGAATTGAGGGCTATAGGAATAGAAATCACTGTGAGATTGAAGAACAGGATTAAAGGTCGTAAGGCCTGGGAAAAGATGGAATAGTAAAGGATTGAGGAATTTCAGAGTTGATGAACATGGCAAGGATCTGGGATGTGACCTGCTCTCAGGATAGCTGAGGAGTAGGTCAGAGGAAATATGAATAGTGAGAAAACCAGAAGTTGGAGCATCTCAGGGGCCATTTATATGAATGCTGAAGTCCCTTGGTTTGAGGGCAAGAACTGAGTCAAGCATTGAAACTTTTGTTGAAATGTTTGTTGAGTTTGATTTAATTTAGGTTTGCAGTTTCAGGACAGCACTTAGAAAAACTGCTGGTGCCGTACCATTATTTCTCCATTTAGGAAACACTGCCACCAGGTGGCCCAGATGCTAAGTAAGGTGTGTGTTCTGCCTGAAAGCTGGATGACAACCTTGAATTTTCTGCTCCCTATTTACAAAAATTGTATTCCATGCTAAAACAAGTAGACTTTAATGACATTTACAAGTTAAATTGATAATTGTTACCAAGTAATGTTTTTTAAAAAAATAAATAGAATCTTAATGGCATTTTGGAATCATGCAAGAAATGTGATTAAATCACCTTATACCCTTTACCTAACAATCCTACTGCTTGGTTTATGCTAGTGGGAAGTCAGAGACGTAAGCAGAGGGCAGCTGGAGAGTGACATCACTCTTTGTGATAGCAAAGAAAGTGGGTGCATGTCCGTTGAGGAATAGCCAAAAAAAACACCTCAACCCTATAGTTAATGAATGTAATAATATGATTATGTAGTAAGAAATTATGAATTTGAGGAACTCAGAGGGACATGGGAAAGTCTGTGCAAACTGATACAGAGGGAAATACACGGAGCCTAAGGAATAATATAGCCGGTGATTACAGCAACGTAATTGAAAAGATCTCTACCAGGAAGCTCAACTCTGAATAAGTAAACCAGTGTGAGTCCCAGAGGAGAGACAATGAAATCTGTGACTGAGAGATGGGTTGCTCCTAGGGCAGGGTGGTGTATGTGTTGTTAGACTGGATCACCATCACATATTTGTGCTTGATTGGTTTTCTTTGTCATGAGGAAGGTTTTAGTCTGGGGTGAGGTAGGGTCCCCCTACCCCTGAAATGACCATGACGTGAAGACAAAGGACGTCAGTGAAACATTTGAGAAAATCAACCGGCTTAGCTTTTCCTCGCTGATCTTTGTTACAGTATCACAAGCTTAGTGACATAATGAGCTTTTGGTTAGAATTTTCTTCTCTTCCTCATCTTGCATTCTGCTTTGTCCCAGTAGACCCCCCGCCTGCTGCTAGGAAACATAACACTTCCTAATACCGAAGTGACTTTTGTTTGGTCCTGAGCCTCTCAGCTGGTAAAAAGCCTGTTTGCTAATTAAATTTCACTGTGCCCTGAAATTAATTAGATAGATACCATCATGGCCTGATAGCCCAGAGGAGGAGAAGACAATCTCTGATTATAGCTTATTTATTATTAGAAAGATATTTTCGTATTGTGGTTTGCAGTCGACACTAGAATTTTGAAAAGCGTTTCTCTCATAAGAGATTGGAAAGCACTCAGGTCATTCTGGTAACATTCAGACTCTCCTTTGTAGCCCGTGCCCAGTCCTGACCCTGGGAGCTCAGGGCAGTCTTCTAAGGGGCCCTCTCTAATGGGACAGAAAGATTCCAGCAAGACTGTGAACACACAAGCTTTAATGACAGAATTTCACCCTCAAGATTTGGAGAATCTTGATTCCAAAATGGTAAGAGAACAGACCTTGAAAATCTAAGAGCAGAGATAGATGTCTGAAAATGAAGAGAAAGCTGATCCACAGTGGAAAAAAAAAAGCCTTCCTTTTGAGAGCTAAAATTCCCTCCCATCTGACCAATGTAATTCTGTCATGTACTGAGGAATAGCAGTGAAAGCCAGCTGTGGAATAATAACTCTGCTCATCCACAGAATTGGATAGTTATCTGCCTAGTGGTTGAGGTGATAAGGGGGGGGAACCAAAGGATTCAGGATGTGTTTTGCCTAAATCAACTAATAATAATAATTGCATTTTTATATCACTTCATAGCGTGCTTTCCCCATTCATTTGTTTCTTTGTTCCTCAATGACCTACCCAAGGAACAAAGAATGCATCAGGGAGGCAAGATCAGACCTAGTGAATTTTTTTTTTCCAGTGAGTCTTTGGCCTTTCTTAAGAGGAGGGCTCACGTTGACCTTGCTCAGTCTTGAGTTCTGTCCAGGTTTTTGATTACAGTTTAAGGTCGGGGAGTACAGTAAAGGTGCTTGGGCTATCTCTTCCCTGTCATGATGAGTTGCTTTGAGTTCTCTCTTATAGCTGAAAGAAAAGATGAAGGAACAATCATGGAATATACTCTTTGTGGAATATGGCCGTGGCGTTAGCATGTTTCGGACAAAAAAGACTCGAGACTTGGTTGTAAGGGGTATTCCTGAGACTTTAAGAGGAGAACTATGGTTGCTTTTTTCAGGTATTAAACACACACACACACACACACACACACACACACACACACACACACACACACACACACACACACCCTTTGCCAATTACTGAGCAAGTTAATATTGTAGGTAGAATATGTAGCAACTAAATGAAAATACTTTTAGTGTCCAAAGCAAGTCAAGTCCAGCTCTTGAAAACATCATCTTATTGGGTGAGGTTCATGCCCCTCGAATAAAATAAACCCATGGGTTGTTTTTTGTTCTTATTCTCTTGCCCAAATATTATTTTAGTAATTGCGTTCTTAAAAGGCAGATGGGTTGTCATAGGTAAAGAGCTGGCCTTGGAGTCTGGGGCAATCAGTTAATCAGTCAGTGTTTATTAAGCACCTACTAGAGATACAAAAGCCAAGAATGAAATAATCCTGCTTCTTAAGAGCTTACATTCTAAAGGGGACATGGAGGAAGAGCTGGGTTCAAGTCTTGCCTCTGACTTGTACTGGTTTTGTGAGCCTTTTTGGATCACTTGACTCTCAGGGCCCCAAGCAACTCTGCAAGATTTTACACTACAGACCAGTTGCCGATCAGAATTGGTTCAAGGAATCCTCTTACCTGGGAACTCCTTGTGTAGGTCCAGACCCTTCCCCCCATCCCCACCAAAAGAAAAATTACCTGCTTACAAAGGAGCAACTTAAGTTGATGAAATTCAGTTCTTCGTGTTTAATTTGAAAAAAAAGAAAGAAAGAAAAGAGAAAGAAAAGAAAAAAAGAAACTTTATCATCTTCTTCTTCTGTATGCTAATATAATTATTTTCCCAGGTGCTATTAATGATATGGCTACCAATCCTGGCTATTATGCTGACATGGTTGAGTTGTCCTTAGGGACATATACAGTAGCTACTGATGAAATTGAACGTGACTTGCGTCGCTCCCTACCTGAGCATCCTGCCTTTCAAAGCGACATGGGCATATCTGCATTGAGGCGGGTACTCACAGCATATGCATACCGGAACCCCAGAATTGGCTACTGTCAGGTAGGGCTGCAAAGAGAGCCCAACTCTGTTGATATTCCGAAAGATAAAACTTCATTAAATCCAACTCCATTAATCTGAAATTGGTGGATGGGAGCCGGGTAGGAGTTAATAGTGCATATTGGAAGACTGTGTTATAGGGGCCTTACTTCAGGAGAGCTAAGTGTACTTAGGCATCCATAGACAAGACATTTTAGCTCTCTGGTCCCCAGCTTCCTTTCTATGAAATGAATTAGTCCTAGCTATTCATTAATAGGTCCCTTAAAATGGAATTGGAGTATAAATCAACAGCTGTTTATTGGGCTCTTTCTATACTTTTTCTACTGGGTTATTGAATTGTTGAATTGTTTTCTCTCCTCATCAGCCCACCTCCTGGGAATTTTCATTTACAATTGTTGTGCAAAGGACTTCCATATCTATAGATCCAGCCCTTATCTCTTCCCTCTACTCCAGTCCCCCACCAACATCTGCCTGCTTGGCATCTCTGCCTGCCTATGCTGCAACATGTCCAGAGGATTTAAACAGATAATTTACAGAAGAGGAAACCCAAACAGATTGCGTTTTTTAAATGCAAAAATAATTTTTGTTTTCTCTTCCCTTCCAGATCTACCTGACTTTGTTTTCTATCTTTAAAATTTTGTTTTCATATGATTGAAACACAAATTGTAAAAAAAAAAAAACCTTGAGAAAATGTCCAACCTCACTAATAATCTTCCCATGTTTCTCTAAATTCCTTTTACATCATTTCTTACTGCTTATATAAATTAAAACAACTCTGAGATGCCACTTTGCACTTATCAGATTGGCCCAATTAATTAAACTCAGTCCTGGTGAGGTTGTGAAAAAACAGGTTACCCTCTTTCATTGCTAATGCAATTGCAAACTAATAGAATGTTTTTAGAAAGCAATCTCACAATGCGATGTCAGGAATACAAGAACAATCAGATACCCCCACTGCCCACCCCCTGATCCAGTAATTACATTGTTGGGAATATGACCTGAAACTGTTTGTCTTCCATATGTTTTTTTTTTTCAATTTTAGGCAATGAACATTTTGACATCAGTGTTGCTTCTATATGCAAAAGAAGAAGCCGCTTTTTGGCTCCTGGTTGCTGTGTGTGAACGGATGCTGCCTGATTATTTTAATCACCGGATTATTGGTAAAACATGTTGAGAGTGAATGCCCGCTTCTTCTGAAGTAATAAACTCAGACCAAATGACCAGGGAAATAAAACTGCTGGCTTAAGTTGTAGAAGATGAAAAAGAAAATCAAACAGTTCTAAAATATCACATGAACTAGACTTTTCAGGAGACTTTTAGTGTTCATTTTAGCTTTTCTTTAATATATTGCCTTGATTTTAAGAAGTGCTAACCTGATCTGTTTCTTAATAAAATGGAAGTCCTAAGCTCATCCCCAAGCTTCTAATGCAGTATCAACGTGAAAATTTCAGAGCTGTTGGGATTTTTTTTTTTTGGAGGGAGTATGGGGAGTGCTTATAATCAGTGAGCTCAAAGTCCCATATTTATGTGGAACCGTATGGATATCCATAAGTATCTTTTGAAAATGATCATTGTAGGGGCAACTAGGTGGCACAGTGGATAGAATTCCAGCCTTGGAGGCAGGAGGCCCTGAGTTCAAATGCAGCCTCAGACACTTGATATTTACTAACTGTGTGACCCTGGGCAAGTCACTTAACCCTGATGGCCTCACCAAAAAGCAAAAAACAAACAAAATGATCATTGTTTGGCAGTACATTTTCCCAAAAGATGGCCAGCCTATAATAGTCAAATTAAAAAGGGAAATCTGTTTTTTGCTTAAATTATGCATGGACGGTCTATCTTTATTAAGTGCTTCTAGGTATGTGGTATTGTATTTATTAGCTCCTGTTGTGTTTTACTGAATCTTGACCTCAAGAAGCTTAAAATCCAAGAGAGAGAGACAAGATAGTCCCATATCTAGTAAGAGATCAGAAGAAAGCTGAGAGGGTCTTAAGGTTGCTTTGTGGCTCCTGGGATCATATAGAACACTTCAATAATCCCTCGTGTGGAATGAAGTAAAGAAGGTCTTATAAATACCAAGAGTGGTCAGGCTGAAATCTCCTGGTTCCTCCACAGGTGCCTTGGTGGATCAGGCAGTCTTTGAGGAACTGATCAGAGAGCACCTTCCTCAGCTGACGGGTCACATGAGTGACATGACCTTCTTTTCCTCGATCTCCCTCTCCTGGTTCCTCACCCTCTTCATCAGTGTGCTTCCTATTGAAAGTGCCGTGAATGTCGTGGACTGTTTCTTCTACGATGGCATAAAGGCCATCTTACAGCTGGGATTGGCGGTGCTTGACTATAACATGGAACAATTGCTTACGTGTAAAGACGATGCCGAAGCTGTCACAGTGTTAAACAGGTACTGGCAGAATCATCGGGTTGCTCTAGAAATCTGAGAAATCATCTAGCCCAACTCCCTTATTTTAAACAACAAATAATGATAAGAGTTAACATTTCTGTAGTGCTTCAAGGTTTGCAGAGCACTTTACAAATAGTATCTTCTTTAACCTTCCCAAAAACCCTAGGAGATAAGTGTTATTATTATCCCCATTTTACAGTTGAGGAAACTGAACCAAATTGAGACTAAGTGGCTTGTCCAGGGTCACATACCTAATAAGTATCAAAGGCTGAATTTGAACTCGAGTCTTCCTGGTTCCAGGTCCAACACTATCAAATCTACCTCCAAAGCCATTGGGATTGTCTTAAGTATTGGTGACACACCTACTATAATATGCTCACCACTTTCCTGGACAGTGCTGGCAGATAGAAGGCATAGATTCTGTTCTCTGGGAGCCTGAAGTAGAGCAAGTAGTTGGTGTTAGTGTTATTGTTATTGTTGCAGCTAGGGGATGCCACAGTGCATAGAGTGCTGTTCCTGGAGTCTGAGTCATTTTCCTGAGTTCAAATCCCATGGCCTCAGTTACTTCCTAGCTGTGTGAACCTGGGCAAGTCACTTTACTCCGTTTGCCTCAGTTGCCTCATCTGTAAAATTAGCTGGGGAAGGAAAGGGAAAACCAGTCTAGTATCTCTGCCAAGAAAACCCCAAATGGGATCACAACAAGTTGGACATGACTGAAAACGACTCAATAATAACAACAAATAATTGCTATTTCTAAAGCCCTTTATCACCTGCTTCCCCCCAGCCCCCACCTCCTTTCTAGTCTTATACCTTATTCCGCTCCACTGGTACCCTGAGATCCAGTGACACTGGCCTTCTTGCTGTTCTTCCCACAAGACACTCCATCTCTAGACTCTGGACATTTTCAGTGGTGATCTCCCATGCCTGGAACCCTCCAGGCCTCTGCCTCCTGGCTTCCCTTCAAGTCTCTCACCTTCTGTAAGAAGCCTTTCCTAGGGGCAGGTAGGAGCTCTGGCCTTAGAGTCAGGAGGACCTGAGTTCAAATCCAGCCTCAGACATATAACACTTACTAGCTGTGTGACCCTGGGTAAGTCACTTAACCCAATTGCCTCACCAAAAAAAAAAAAAAGCCTTTCCTAGTCCTCCTTAATCTTCATGCCTTCTCTCTGATATTGCCTCCAGTTTATGCTATTGATAGCTTGTTTGGGCAGAGTTATTTGCATGTTGTTTCCCCCGTTAGAATGTGAGCTCCCTAAGGGCTGGGACTGATTTTTGCCTTTCTTTGTATCCCCAGCCCTTAGCCAGATGCCTGGCCCTAGGAGGGACTTCAAAAATGCACGTTGACTTGAAATTGAGTGGTACAGACTAGTAGCAGATACAGACTCGGAGATGAGGAGGAATAGTATGGGTTGGAGTGGCCAGGGAAGATGTACTGGATGAGATAGGCCTTAAACTGGGTTTTGAAGGACGAGGAGTACATGTGTAGACCAACAAGAGAGCATAGGGCACCCCAGGCAAGATCAACAGCCCAAGCAACGTCCCGTAGGCAGGAAAGAACATCTGCTCTCCATGAAGGTCGACTGCAACCAAGACAAAGCTACTGTCCCAGAAGACGGCAACAACCAGGTACCATTTGCTCTGTTCTAATAATTTGTGGTCCCATGAACTTTGATGCCAATATTCCTTTTGACCAGGTTCTTCGACAATGTCACCAACAAGGACAGCCCATTGCCTTCGACTGTTCAACAGGGTTCATCTACAAGTGATGACAAAAGCCATCAGACCAAAGTGGACATTACAGATTTGATTAGAGAAGCGAATGAGGTGAGTTCTCGCGTGGTCACAGCGTTTATACAGCATGTTGACAGTTTATTCCTTTTTTTGTTAACTAAATAATGCCTGGTAATCCTGGTGGCTAGGCCAGGGGCAGGTAAAGAAAATCATAATACAACCATCAAGGACATTTCAAACCTAACTTAATTTTAAAAAATGATCTCGACAAACTGGTAGCAGGTCCTATAACCCCTCTGGCCGTGTTCCCTTTTCTTTAAAGTGGAGTTGTTTGTCTGTTTCTTTTTGTACAAAGTCAATTAAGTTAATGCATTTGAACTATATTAAGTTACTGTAAAAGAAGGTAATAAATTACACCTTTCTAAGAGACTCCATGCATTTCATAAATATCCTTACATGTAATTTTAGATGGGTAATAAACAGAATTCTCATCAGTAATTACATGAAGCAAAGCAAGAACTAGAAATGAGAAGCCAGGGATGTGTCCCTACATGGCAGTATCCCAGGAACATACTTTCCACATGCCTCTTACCCCCTCCCCATCCCTCCTAGCCCCCCCTGCCTTACCGGTCTGTTTGCCAGGCTTACCCCCCCCCCCCCCCCACCCAACGTACC